TGTAGCTGTCCTCAACATCTGCTATGTTGCCTTCTGGTAGTACAATCCCCTCAGTTCTGACTACCTTCCCTCTCCTTGTTACTATTCGGCCACACTTATCCAGTCCGAATCACATTCCGATGTCCTTGCTGTAGATCCCAGTGGTGTGGATCAGTGAGTTGATGTCTCATTCACTCCTGGCATACAGCTTGATGTCATCTATGTAGAGGAGGTGGCCGATGGTTGCTCCATTCCTTAGTCGGTATCCGTAACCACTCTTGGTTATGATCTGGCTGAGGGGGTTCAGCCCTATGCAGAACAGCAGCCAGAGCATCTCCTTGGTAGATACCGCACTTGATGTTGACTTGTGCAATTGGCTTGAAGTTGGCCTCTAGGGTTGTTTTCCACATTCCCATTGATGAAGGCTCTTAGATTCTTGTTGACGTTGTACAGTTTCAAGCATTCCAGGATCCATGTGTGAGGCATTGAGTCATAGGCTTTATTGTAGTTGATCGTATCATCACCCCCCCACCCAGGATGGAGGCAGCTTTCCTACGCACCCTGCGGTGGTAAATGCTCTGCAGAGAGGGCAGTGGAGTCCTGGTGATCTTCTCCGCAGTCTTTACCACTCTCTGCAGGCGCTTGCGGTCCATAGCAGTAGTGCTGCCATACCAGACAGTAATACAGCTGGTCAAGATGCTCTCAATGATGTAGCTGTAGAAGTTGCAAAGGATCCTAGGCGACATGCCAAACCTCAGCCTCCTCAGTCTTGTCCGTGTTGAGGCTGAGATTACTGTCCTTGCACCAGACCGGCCACCTCCCTCCTGTAGGCTGCTTCGTCCCCGCCAGTGATGTGACCTATCACTGTGGTGTCGTCTGTGAACTTTAGGATGATGATGTCTTTGTGGGAGGCGACACAGTAAAATTTGTGGGGGACAACTGTGCTGAAGGTAGAGCTGTGGTCAAAGAAGAGTATCCTGACGTAAGAGTCTCCATTTTCCAGGTGAGAAAGGGAATAGTGGAGGGCAGCCGTGTTAGTGTCTGAGAGGGCCCTGTTGGGCTGGTAGGCATACTGCAGTGGGTCCATGGTATCCGGTATACTGCTCTGAATGCAGGCTAGCACCACTCCCTCAAAACACTTCATAATGAATGGGGTGAGTGCCACTGGCCGCTGTGATGGCATTCCTCAATCTGTACTTCGCAGCATACGGCGTACCTGACTGTTTATCCAGGGCATCTGGTTGTGGAACCTCCTGACTTGTATGGTGGGCACAATGTTGTCAATACAGGTACTAATGTACCCAGTCACATACTCAGCATTATCCTGTATGCTGAAAGAAAAGTCCTCCAAGGTGGCTGCAGCTTTAAACACATCCCAGTCTGTTTGGGCGATACAGTCCTGCAGGGTTCCTTCAGTCTCTGGGGTCCAGAGTTTAATTTGTTTGGTGACAGGGTTTGTTTGTTTCAATCTTTGTCTGTAAGCTGGATACAGGAACAAAGAAATGTGGTCTGAGCATTCAAGGTGGGGGTGGGGTGCAGCCCTGTATGCACCACGTGTGTTTTTTTTGTTATTGTTGTGTCTCTCACTGTTCACATAAACCTACCATTGAAACTGTAGACTGATCATTTCTTTGTTAGTGGGCAAACTTACAAAATCAGCTGGGGTTCAAATAATTTTTTCCCCGACTGTATAGGCATGTTATGCTAGTACAGACTGGAGCATATTTGAGACTGCATCCACAGACCTGGATGAACCCACGGATACTGTGACATTAAACACTGTCATACCACACAAAAAAAATCTGCACCACAGTGAGCTGTTTCATAGACGGAACCAGTAGTCGCACAGCGGAAGGATCAAAACTGTATCACAGACAGAATGCAACGTAGCTGCATCTGGTGAAAATGAGGAGTTAAGTGTGATCTTACCTGTATTGCTCTATGTTAAAACTAAATGCCTTAAAATCTTTCTTTTGAATTAATGCGATGTGCTGTGTGCTACACTGAGGGGTCCAAGTTCACCTTAATGTCCCTGATGGTCAAGTAGAGCTCGATGGAGGTAGATTCTGGCTCGGATTCAAGCAACACAGCCTCCGCCTGTGTCGAATCTTCAAGATTAAAAGAGGAAGTCTTTGAAAGTGAGTCTTTAATACCGCAAATGCACTTTAAAATCAGTCTCACCACACAACTGTTCAGCACATAAAATGTTGCTTCTAACATGTAAAGCCTCTAAAAAATAAAGAAACGGAACAAAAACCAGTGTTGCTCACCTTTTAGTAGGTTGTGCAGGTACAGTGTAGCAGAGCTGTCCCACCGGGTGGATGGACTGCAGGAGAATGACATCAATCAAAGATTTTTATTGTCAATTCACTATATGTGCAGGACATACAGAAAATCAAGATAATGTTTCTCTCTCATCCAGTATTGAATGCCATATCATTTAAGAAACTAAAATAGAACAAAAGTAGAGTAAAAAATGAATAAAATAGAATAAGAAAACTAAGTCAAAGTGATAAAACTAAACGGTACAACCTAATGGGCTATGACTCAAACCATGTACAATCAGTGACAGTAGTGCAAATGACCAACAGCAGCAGATGTGATGGTAAAAACAACCTCAAAGTTTGTTTATTTTCCCAGCACAAATACAACTTGTGCTGTAGTGGTTAAGGAGAACAAGATCTGAAAGCAGTGAAGGGTGTGTGTGACCAAATTTTATATTGCAGTTTGTTTGTTTTTTACATTGTTAAGGAGTATAAACAGCCTAATTGTGTGCATCATGCCTCACACATCCATCAATAGTACAGTGGTAAGTGGGAAACTTACACAAGCTTTGCCTTCTCAAGAAAGGACACTCGCAATGTTGTAGGTTGGATTCCCCCAAGGTGGAACTTCCTTACCCAGACAGGCAGCTGAAGGAAGTTCTGTGCAGCGTCTCGGATCCTGGTCAGACCAAAACATACTTAAAGATCAAGTAGCACAGACGTACAAATCATATACGTACACAGACATACAACAACTGCCTAGTCTGCAAACTCTAACATGACCTTATGGTACTCTTTCCTTTTCCAGTCATATCAATAACTTCTCCCAGACTGCTTCCTTTCATCTGCGAAACATATCTAGGACATGCCCTGTCCTAGCTCGATATCCTACCAAAGTACTTCCCACTACACTGGTTAAGTCACATTAACTATTGCAATACAGTTCTGACAGGTATTTCAAATAAACTTATTCACTGATTACACCTTATTACAATGGCATCACGGATTATCACACGATCACATCACAGCTTTGATCCAACTACACTGGCTCCCTCCATCACAATTCATACATTTTAAAATACTATTATCATTTAAAGTACTTCGTTTTCTTGGTCTTGTGCAACTCATCCCGGATTACTTTTACCAGAGAAGAACTGTTAAATATCGGACAACTCACACCAAACTACCTTCCTCCAATTTTTGTTAATGAAGAATGCTGTATGGACATTCTGATCGGAGTGTGTGCTGATCAGCTGGCCCCCATCTTCACACTTATCTTCAACAGGTCACTGGAGCTGTGTGAGGTCCCCTCCTGCTTCAAACACTCCACCATCATCCCAGTCCCCAAGAAAACCTCCATCAGTGGACTGAATGACTACAGACCTGTCGCCCGGACATCTGTAGTTATGAAGTCCTTTGAAAGATTGGTGTTGGCCCACCTGAAGGACATTGTAGACCCCCTGCTGGACCCCCTGCAGTTCACCTACCGGGCAAACAAGTCAGTGAACGATGCAGTGAACATGGCACTGTGTTACATCCTGCAACACCTCAACTCCTCAGGGACCTATGCACAGGCTCTCTTTGTGGACTTCAGCTCAGCATTCAACACCATCATCTTGGACATCCTCCACTACAAACTGACCCAGCTCACTGTGCCTGCCCCCACCTGTCAGTGGATCTCTCTCCCCTTGGCTGTTTTCACTCTACACCAACGACTGCATCTCAGAGGACCCCTCTGTCAAGCTCCTAAAGTTTGCTGATGATACAGCGGTCATCGGTCTCGGTCTCATCCGAGACGGTGATGAATCAGCCTACAGACAGTGGAGATGACACTGGACTTCAGGAAGAACTCCCAGGACCTGAAGTGGACGTCCAACATCAGGACTATCATCAAGAAGGTACTTCCTGCACCAGCTTGACTTGCCCCAGGAGCTACTGATACAGTTTTACAGAGGAATCATCGAGTCTGTTCTCTGCACGTCCATCACTGTCTGGTTTGGCTCAGCAACCAAACAGGACAAGTACAGACTTCAGCGGACAATCAGGACTGCAGAAAAGGTCACTTGTGCAAGCCTGCCCTCCATGGAAGAACTGTACACCTCACAGGTCAAAAGAAGGGCGGAAAAGATCACTGCAGACCCCTCACACCCGGGACACAAACTGTTTGAACTCCTCCCCTCTGGACGGCATTACAGGTCACTGGAAGCAAAGCGAACCAGGCACAAGGACAGTTTCTTCCCCTGGACCATCACTCTGATGAACACTTGACCCACGATAGTATGACTAGACAATAACCCTCAGTGCAATGCCTGTAAATATACATTGTACAAATCTCTATCTTTAAGTACTCTGTTTTTATTCCTATTTGTCTTGTTTCAATGAGCATTCCTTTGTCTGTTTGCACGGTTCGTTGCTTGTTAATACTGCTTATTTTGTTATATTACACAGCCTTATGTTGGTTTACTGTTTACTTGCCCCTTGCATGGGGATATGTACGTACACATTGAGAGCTGATGTACCAGAGTCAAATTCCTCGTGTGTCCGACACACTTGGCCAATAAAGCTGATTCTGATTCAATCTTGTTCCTGTCCATCTTACAGATTTTCAGGTGTGTACATCACCTCGCTCTTTGTGGATCTTCATCAGCAAATCTTCTGGTGTGACCCACTATTAATCTGAGTCCAGTAGGTGACTGGGCCTTCTCTTACATTGCACCCAAACTCTGGAAATCACTTCCTCCTCATATTCACACAATTACTGCTGAATTTTGGACTGCACAAAAAACTCACCTCTTCAAATTAGCACATCTAGTGTAACTGCACTGTTAATCAGTTAATTCAGATTTGAGATTAGGAATTTTAGGGCAGTTTTGCTATTAATATTTATTACTTCTATTATTGCTGCTGTGTTTAGATTGTAATTTGATAGCAATAATATATTTTGTTATCCATTTGATTGTATGTTTGATTTATTCGATGTAAGGTGGCCTTGAGTGTTACAAAAGGTGCCACTAAAGAAAATGTTATTAAAATGGCAGTGTTCCAGTGCTGAGGAAGACTGATGTTGCTCTGATCTTACTGGTCTGATGGGGCAACAAGCCATTCTCCGTGATCTACCAGGAGGCAGCGAGCCCTACAGGACTCAGAGTCCATGATTACAGACTCCACCATGGCCCGACACCATGACTTCATCACTGGCCAATACACAACATATACCTGAGGGAGAATACAGTGACACACACACACAATTAGCTCCAGTCCAATTAAGGTCACAGGAAGGTGTCTTACCCAGAGCAGGTGTGTAAAAATATGGGAAAAGACAAGAGAGCAGGTTCTGCATTACCTTCCCTTCCTCTATCGGTCTGGGATTCAGCTTGCGCAGGTTCCAACTGATGTTGTGGTAGAAGAGATTCATCTGAGTGTGCAGATTGTCATACTGTTCTGTGGTCTGCGTGTTGCCACCTGACGCCCAGATGACCCGACCCCAGAAGCAGGAAGGGTTCTCAACCTGCAGAGGCCAACAGAAATGCATGTCTAGTCTTACAGACATACAGTTTCTCTACACAGAACTTGCAGTTTAACAGTTTATTTTGTAAAAACAGGCAAAACAGATTCATGCTCAATTCTAAAACTACAAATGTTACGATTATCTGGCCTCAAAGAAAAACTAAGACTGCACCCTAATTGTTGATTCATTAGTCGAGAGGCCTGTCAGTCGAACAACTGTCTTCTCGTCATTTTTTTTTTTGTCACCCAGTGTGCATTACAAGAGAGGGTAGCCACATCCCAGCATTTTCTCATCTTCTTATTTTGGTGTGCCAGCCATTTGCTCAACGCTTTCCCCTTATTTGTAGTTTTTCAAATAACACCCTAAATTAATGATTTCCATTTGTACAAGTACTTTTTGAATGTTTAACACTTTTTAACAGTACCGTGATAATATTGATAAACATGATAATTATGGTCACTATAACTGTGATGTTAGATTTTCATCAAGTTACATCTCTATTTACATTACAAAGGCATCCAGTTACAGAACAATAATAAACACTATATTGCAATGTATTGGGGTGGTTCTATTATTGATTAGGTGCAACAAACATGTATACATATATACACTATATATACACACCCACACACACCCACACCAAAATAAACAATAAGGAGTTAATACAAATACCTTTTAATGCCACAATTTTTTTTTAAGTGAGACTAACATGCCCACATTCTGCAGTTATGACCCTCTGCCTGCCCCATAGTTTGGGAAATCAGGACATGGTGTAGCAGTAGCAAACGACAAGCAAAAAAACCTTCTTGAGCAGAAATGGATAAAAAAAGAGGCCTTCTGAATGGCAAGTTCAGTTTTAAAGCCAGCTATTTGCATTTACTGTTGACCTGAATTGAGGTACCATCAGAGTATGTCCAGTCTCAAATACCACTTGCTGACTAAGCACACAGCTGATGCAAAGCGCCCTCCTCCCCCTCACCAAAGGCAGACCACGCTGGATAGTTTGCAACACAGACGCCTGGACAACTCTACAAGCAGCACACTTTCAACAGCTAAATGGGCGGCTACAGCTTGCAGTACGTTTAACATTGTGGAGAATGAGGGTCTGCTTGAAATAATTCACATCGCATTCAAAGACAGCATGTATGACTTGCCTTCAGAGCCACCGCTGTAACCAAGATACACAACGTAGATGAAGACGAGAAAGCTCAAGTGGAGGAGATGTCAGGATAGACAATCATGGTTAGTTCACCGGAGACGACTGGCCTTCTCTCAATAATCAGTTACTTCAGAGTCCCTTTAATGTACATTCAGAACTGATTTTAAAAATGTGCAATTAACTTGTGATTAATCGCAACTATGGACAATCATGCCGTTAAATGTTTTAATCGATTAACAGCACTAATATGTGCGTGCTGTAATTAGTTGTAAGAGTTCATGCTGCATTCTGCTTGACTATAGGCTGCTATAATTCATTAGGTTATGATGTAAATTATGTTTGTGTAAGGCGTTTTGAAATCTTGTGTGCCCCTTTTTTAACTTTGAGCACCTGCACCCCTAAAGGGTCTCTGCACGGCCCTGCTCAACACGTCGGTAATAGAAACAAAATTATCAAACTTGACAGGATTTGCCTAATTTAAAACTATGAAAAACAACAAAAAACAGCACAATGCATCCACACAGCATTTCTATGCTTTTTATAAATGCGTCACGGAGCTGACCGCATTAACGCCAGCTGTTATTAAAAAGCTCACTTACCTTCAAAACGGATAGTTTCAGCATAACGTGCGTGCTTGTTCAATCCACACCAACGACACTACAAGAAAACACAATTTATCGTCGATAAATTATTTAACCCATCAGGTATGACTGCAACGTAGCTATCTACAGTGTTTAACGTCGAGCAACAAAATTAAACCAAAGCCGCCATTTTTCACCCGACACTGACCCGCGGCTGTCTGCTAACTAAGCTAGGTGTTACTCGAATTCGTTGACAACTGCAACTAAAATGTGCATAGACGAAGCGAATTTTACATGTGTTAATTCACAGAATGTTTTCTGTTTCTTCCGTTTGATTTCTTTCTAATTTGAAATGTAAAACGTACCTGTTAAAGCTGATTCTGATTCTGTTTCTATATGGTCCTCCGACACATGCGCAGTAGCTCATGAAGCAGCTGCGCTGAGCCTCCCGGCCAAACGGCGACTGAGCCGATAGACATTTGGTTTGATAGCGTTGCATTCAGTACTAAAGATTCTATAACATTATTTGGAGCAAATGAAAACAGCTGATGTAAGCGCTGTAACATGCACATTGGTGGGAGTTGATGAAGGACCATGGGGTGCAGTACTTAACATTACTCAAATAGGTGAAACAACCACAAAGTAATCTGATTAGAACGTGTGGTGCATCATGAAAACCAGTCTTGCAACAATATAGTGTGGGTTCGATTCCCGATGGAACTGTTATTTAGTTCATCAATTAAACAGTTTAAAAAATATACATTTGCCATTTAGCCTACTGAACACGGACTATTCATCATCTTTTAAGATATGGGCTATTTAGACTGTTGGATAGAATATAATTCATAGCACTAAGTGTCAGTCTAAGTATATAGCCATACCCTATTACAGTCGAACATGCCAAATAAGACACATGGTCTTCAACATGAGTTCTTGTTTATTTTATATCTTGTGTCAGTTTGAAACCATCCAACCATGTAGTGTAGCCTGGCGATTCAAATCCCAAACAATCCAGGAATCAATAAATGACACGTCTCGATTGCACTTCGTCTTATTGACCACTGGATGTCCTACTTAAGCACCTTGTCATTGAAGCCTCGAGTACCAGCCATCCATCCATTTTCTATACCGCTTTGTCCCAAACGGGGTCACGGGGAGTAATGAACCATTTTTTAAATTCTGTATCGTAGCTTCAACAAAGCCTCGATCAGCCATCACTACCTGTTTCCGAGCTTGTCAAAACCTGCTGTCAAACGATCCAACAACTACAAAACCTCTGTCGATCCCGCTGCCATGCGAGTTTAATTGCACTTCTTTTTCTGCAATTACGGTATGCGTGCTTGGACCGGCCAAAATGGATTTTTAACACAGCATAGAGAAAGAGGGTGCAACTATGGGTAAACAATCAGCCAGAGTTAAAGTGACCCCCTCTCGGGAGAGACCAGCACAGAGAGAGAGTGCATTTATGCCCCGCCCCAGCAGAGGGGGCCACTCTGAGTCCTGTAGGGTCACGTAAAGGGTTCTTGTGTCATACACAGGCGAAGCATAGGAGTGCGTTCTTTCGCCTCTCTTATTTGTCTTGTACACCAATATGTACTGTATGTGTGTAATGTGGCAGAGTCTGATGTGGCTGCTCCAGAGCCAGGGCTACCTGCAGAAAGGGAGAGAGGAGACAGTCGTGACATGCAATGATGGCGTATACACCTGTACAGTTGTATACTCTTCAGTGAAAGAGATAGATTTGTACGCTGGAGTCAGAAGATGGGTGAAAAAGGTCTGTTTGGGTCCTATGACGAGCCCCCACCAGCAGTAAAACTGTTCATTAAACAGGCTGCTGTTTAATGAACTAAACTAAACTAAACAAGCTTCACACATTGTCACAGTTTGGAGAGAACCTCACAAAGTCAGTGGGCACCATTCAACCGGTGGGTATTAAAACCTTGTTATCTCCCCAAGCTGACTGCCCTACTACATGTCTAGAGTAAACACAGCACAGACTGCCACAGGACGGATGGACGCGACACTTTTTGCACCAGCACTATTTGTGGACATAGGCAGAGAAACAAGAGCGGGCCCTGCATGTGCACAGAAAAGTTTTTTGTCAAGCCATTTTGCATGGATACATCACACAGAGCATTTAGCCACTCGAGCTCACTGTTGAAAAACACATCTGAAATGTTCTAAAACAAGGTCAAGTGTAGCTACATCTGAACGAACCCTCAACAGCAACTCTCCCCATTAAGATCGGTTTGGGGAGATGTTTCTACTAAAAAATATTTGCTGCTATTGCTTACTGTAGCTTCAGGTGAAAAAATGAGAGGAGGAAGAGTTTCTCTCATGCATGTTGTGAATAAAGTCAAACTTTCACAATGATCTCCACCAAATTTAAAAAAACACTTCCTCCCCCCATTTTTTCCTTTAATGCAGCCATAACCCATTATCATATCAGTGTTAATTTTGGCACATGAAATTTATTTAGCTTCTAGTCAGCGAAATCTAAATACACTTTAGCTAACATCCATTTGGCTTCCCAAGTCAACTGGGTAATGCCACTTGTGAAGGTGTTTCCTTTGAAATAAATGACACTGATAGGTAGTGAGTTCCAAAATCAACATGTGAAACAAACATATCAGCTAAACAAAATCCCAAGAAATGAGCTACTAAACTGAACACCAGTATGAACTAATACTTGACTTTACTGGAGACTTTACAAGTGACTTGAACCTTCCTGTTTCCTCTGTGGATGCTCCTCTGTTCCTTATATGAAAATTCTGCAGCACTTTCAGAGAGTTGTTGCTTTTTCCTAAATGATCAGCTAGTCCTC